CTCCTTTCCTACCTATTTCATTTTCCTTCCTTCCTCTCCCCCTTCCCTTCTTCTCATTTTAAACTGTCCCAAATCTTAAGTGGGAACAGAGGAGGAGGAAGAGGAGAAACTGAAGAATCATTAAAATATTTTTTAAATTTTGCCCCAGCCCTACTTGCCATAGCAGTGCATTGATTTTTTTTTCTCAGCCTTGGAGTGGTTACATAATGTGAAGGGCAGTGGCATAATGAAAAATAATGTTCTTTGACATCCCAATTAGTAAGATGAATGCCACTGGCTTTTCAGGGATATGCAGGGATATGCAGTGAAATGAATTAGAAGTCTGTTCTCATATTGCACTGTTTACCTCAAAGACATTCTGGGTGGGTGAATGAAATTCTGTTTTAAAAAAACCCAGTAATTTTACTTATAAACACCTGCTCTTCAAAGGTGAGCATTGATTACATTAAAAGCATGTATAAGGCGCAACCATCACTTCTACAGCAGAATATTGTCTATCATTGATGGTTTTCAGGAAAGGCTGAAATGCAACTGGGAAAGAGTGACAAGGAAGACCAAGGTAACAAACTTTGCTGGAGCAACCTATTTTTGTTCCAACTTTCGCCTGAGCCATCTCTATAACAGCTTACCTGCAGAGGTGGGCTGCACTTACATTACCAACTGGTTTGCTGGTTGTGAGTGCACGCACTGGCTTTGCTCGCATGCACTCCTTTGGGGCTAAAATGGAGCTTTAAATATGCAGCTAATCAACTCAGGCAGCTATGGTGAGTGCAGCAGGGGTGGTGCAGAACTCAGCTGGTCAGCACGGGTGGTGGGAACGAGCAAGAAAGTGTTAGGTCGGGAGATCGAAATAAACACCCAGGAGCTGAGGATTCACAGTCACAAATGTGAGGATTCACATTTATTGGAGGTAAGCATAACAACAGTGTAGCAATAACGAACAATAATGTCTGGCGGGCAGCCTTTGTATAGCGACTGCCTGCCACTCCGTTATCCAATAACGTTGAACTATTCTTCCCAAGCTGCTCGCGATGGGCTGCTCTGTGTCTGTGCCTGCACAGACACAACAGATAGGATAGCGCAGGGGTGGGCGGGCCCAGCCAGTGATCATGACTGAGGGTTCGCCCGGACCTGTCAGAAGCCCATCACTGCTTAACCTGTCCTCACAGTAGTCCTCAAGTTATAACCAGAGGTGGGCTGCTGACGGTTTGGACTGGTTCACCCATACCGGTAGCCCAACCACTGGCTGGGTCCGCCCATCTGCCCCGGTGCTATCCCATCCTATATATCTCACTCTCTGGCTTCCTCACTCACCCACGCAGCCCAGATGATTTCCACGCTTCGTCCTCTCTACTCACCACAGATGTTCGAGAAGATGTGCTAGAAGCCACATGCATGAAACCGCCATGTGTTTTTAAGCTGCATGCATGCTCACCTTTTTGGCTCTGCATTAAGCTGCATGCATGCTCACCTTTTTGGCTCTGCATTAGACAAACCAGTTGTTAAATTATGTGAAGCTCACTTCTGGCTATATCCATAAAAGAGACTTTTGCTAAGTGATTTTTTCACCCCGTTTTATTTACTTTTCTTGCCACCAATGTTCAGTGAATCCTTGCAGTTGATAAGTTAGGAACCTGGTTGTTAAACGAATCCGGCTTTTCCCTTGACTTCGCTGGTCTGAACATTGCAAAAGTGGATGACAAGACCTTTGGACACAGCAACCATCATAACTATGAACTGGTTGCTAAGCATCTGAATTTTGATAACTTGATCATGGGTACACTGCAAAGGTCCTAAGTCTGAAAAGTGGCCACAAGTCACATTTTTTCAGTCCTGTTGTAACTTTGAATGGTCACTTAATGAATTGTTGTAAGTCAAGGACTGCCTGTATCGCAATTGAAAGGTGCAGTGGGAAGGCAGTGGCCAAACAGGCAAGGAAAGGGTTAGAATATTTCAGGGGTTAGGCTTTGAGTTGGGTTGTGCTGTATTGGATTGAGTGGCCAGGGACTTTTTGATAGAGTTCCATGGCCGTCCATTTTGTTGGGTAGAAATATTTTTCTTGCTGTGTAATTACGAACAAAAACATAGCGGTGGCTGAAAAACTTTCTAGGTCTTGGTCTTTACACTAGAGTTTCTGTAACAAATACTATTCATCATCACAAAAAGAATTGTGTCCATAAGAAAAGAGGCTCAAGGGTAAGATTTGAGTCGGGGCTGAGAATGAGGACTTGGTCAGCAAATAGTCTCAACCTGAGCTTGCCATTTTTTTCCAGACAGTAGACTTTCATTGATTCTTTCCAGTAGAAAAGAAGGCCACCCTTATCTCTGAATTACAGCCTTCCTATGTGATTCTTTTCCAAAGAGTGATTCTACCATGGTAGATAAGATATCCGGTTCTAATAAGGCCAAAGGTGGCATCTTAATTCACTTCCATGCAAAGAATAAGCAGGTCTTGTATAGAAGAAGCAGAAAAAATTATCGCGTTCGTATATAGCACAGTGTGAACCCCAGTCAGAAAGCCAATTTTAACAGGTTAGTCGACTGTATCCATTCCACCCTTGCATGTCCTCCCAAGTCTAAAATTCAGCATTTCCTTTCCCACAGAAAGACTGGTAGGGTGTAATTGTCTTGCAAAGGTGGCCAATTATGCTTGCACATTACGACTTGTAATTACCACCAAGACGATAAAAATGCAAGTCAGAAGACCGGCCTCGGTTATGGAGGGCAGGACAAGATTACCAGTCCATTTTCCCTCCCATGACCCACAAAGTTGAGAATGGGAAGTGCTGCTAGCTCACTTTCTCAACAAAGTAATCAAGTCTACTTTGGAAAGACAAGGTCCGTAACTTTGATT